ATTTGAATCTAGGTAAAAGTAAGAATATTATTACATATTGTAATTTTTTATTATATGTAAAATTTTTAAGTTTTAACTGATTGATAGAAATATTTTATTCCACATTTTTATCTTTATAAAAAAGACTTTTGAATAGTCCAAATAAGAAATTTTTATGCTCTACATAATTTTCATTACTTAAAGTTAAGTAGGAAGAATTTAATCTAGTTTTTGAATATCAAAATTCAATTTTCTCCACACTTTATGCTCTCCCAATTATTTTACTCATTGCGACATCATTAATACATTACATTCTGAATTATTTGCAACCATAGTAATATTTCCTTTTTTTTTTTATTTTCTCTCTAAGTACTATTTACGGAGACTCCAGACGATTTCTGAAAAGCATGAAGGATAAATATTTCTTCATGAGCTTCCTGGTCACGTTTTTAATCCCTGAAAATTTCTTCCCATGATTGTAGTATATTGATTCTGAATTTCAAAACCATAAGTTTCACTATGAAATCTCAAAAATAAGGAATCTTGGAACATCCCTTGTGAGTCAAAAAAGATTCTATGCTTCTCTGAATTGGGAAAAAGTGTTTATGAATTCAAAGCACGGTTTTTGTAGGCGAAAGTGATAGATACTTTAAGATTAAAGTAATCAAATGCAGTTTTCTTTTCAATTTATCAGGAAGTCAGTATCCTTTTCATTAATGTAATAAAATATTTTAGCTCTGCTGTATTTTTCACATTTTTAAATTACCCCTTTGTGATCGTATGTCTACTCTCAGACATCACAGTAAAAAAATACTATACTGATCTTCTAACATCGAAGTCACGGAAGTTGATAGGCTTAGGAGATTCTGAAAATTCAAAATAATCTTTCACAAACTGTGCTACAGTGTAAAAGCTTTTTTTTCCTTCTAAAATAATATTTTTCTTTATTATCTTGGATGTTATCTTCGTCCAACAAATAAGTAAATCAGTCTAGTATGACAATTATGTATTGTATATACTTATGCATTGTATATACAATTGTGTATTGTGTAAACTTAATTCGACTGCAAAGTGTGAAGCTATCAAAGAAACTATCAAAAATAAAATACGAGTCTATCAACTTATTTTTTTAACTTTAATTATTTTACTCATTGAGTCTTGCTATCGTTATATTATAGCTGTTATATTGTTGACGAGGTTATTTTCTTTTTTATATATACAAAATTTTTTATCTTCGCTATTGTTTTGTGTGTCTAACTTAACATTTTGTTTTCTTTTAAAAGAACTATAATGCTTAGAAACGTAAAATTTTGGAGATTTTATTAAAAAAATGTACAAGAAGTTAGAAAAACTAAACATCTGAGTAACTCTGAACTCATCAAACTGAGTAACTCTGCTACTCAAAAAAAAAATGCAACTAGATAGGTGAAATTTTCTCAAACCCCCCTCCCCACGCATTTATTGGTGTGCATGACGTAGAGTCTTTTCCGAAATTTAAATGTCCTGGAAAGTTTTCGCACTTTCAAGTGCTTTTCAAACGATATTATTTTTGCATTTTGCTTTAAACCTCTTGTGGCATAAGAAGCGGGAAAATTTAATTATTACTTCAAGTTTTTTGTTTATAAGATAACTCTTTTTATTGGCGTTGAAAGTTGAGAAAAGAAGGAGCTTGTTATTGTATCATCAAGATTAACACTTATCGCAACTCATTTCGTCAAATATGTTCAAAAAAATTTATTGCTTTATAATAAAACTATCTTTATGCAGATGCTTAAAAATATTTAACACAAAAAAACTGATGAGAAAAATTATTCTTTTATAATGAAAATTTTTTTTTGTGTTAACTTCAAAATTAGTTTATTCTCAAGATCGACTAGACGCGAATAAAAAAAAAAAAAAAAAAAAAAAAAAAAAAAAAAAANAAAAAAAAAAAAAAAAAAAATGCAAAGTTGAGAAAATGAAATAATAGTTAAAAAAGAAAAATGCTGAAACTTTGAGAAGCAGAGGTGGCCTAAAGAGGCAAATCATTGTAGAATCTTTTCCAAGTGGTATGGAAGGGCAGTTAGCAACTCGTGTCGGTAACTAGAGAATCGAAATTCTTGTGAATAAAAGAATATTCCAGAGCATAAAAATGAGCTGACGTAACAGAGGTGGAAAGAATTTTGGTGTTACATGTCGAGAGTTTCCAATTTCATAATTTTTGAAGCTGATGAAAATTTTTTTCCATTTTCAAATGAAGATATCTGTTTCTAATTCAAAAGTATCAAAAATAGCAGCTCATAAAAGTTGTATTTATAAAAGTGGTAAAAATCGCATAACAAATAAGACATTTTAAAACAAAATATAATGTAATTTCCTACATAATGAATATCAAAAAAATATAATGTACTTTTATACCACTCAATAAGATGTGCAGGAAGTATATTACTTGAAAAATTACAAATAGCTACAAAAAAACATTTCTCTTCTAAAATATATGTTTGTTAACTGAAACGTTTAGTGCATTTATATGTAATTTCAATTTATTTTAATATTGCAATAGAAATTTGTAGGTACCATCAATAAAAAAAGGTAGTCTGCATAAGTATAAAGAGTTAACAAAAACTATTCGTAGTGAAAGTTAAATCAAGGATTAAAACCTTGTCAACGTTGGAAAAAGTTATCAACTTTTCGTGGTTTTCCACTCTTTTCAACTGAGATGCTGGTTAATTACATCCAAAACGTCATTGATCTACATTGTTAGAACTTTCATTCTCAATTTACGGTAAAATAAAGGGTAGCAGTCTGTCTATCCAATTAACCGTAAAGTTTACGGAAAAGAAAACTTTTACCATTACGGTTTTGAAACCGTTTACAACTAGTATGGTTAAAAAAACCTGACTGCAAAACGATGAGCTTTTTCAACCATTTACAACTAGCATGGTTTTAAAACCGCAAAAAGAGAAATTTATCTGGAGCTAAGCTTTTTAAGGTGGGGAGGAAATATTGTGATGTCAACGCTGGGACTCGAACCCCCGTTCCGTCGGTCATGAGATTGACAGATTTACCTGCTCGGGTTTAACATGTACTCAGCAGGTAGGGACTAAGTAGCATCACTAGCTGGTGGGATAAAATGTTGATTGTTTATCCGTATTAGGTGAAAGCAGTTAATAAGCGGTTTTTCTCTCAGTTAACAGCTAGAATACCATATTACTTATGGTTATTTGACTGTTTTGCTTGAATACGGTAAAACAACAATTAAATAAATTGTTATTTGAGCATTTTTTAAAAGAAATTTCTGGCAGTGTTGCTTGGAAATTTAAAAGTTAGATACAAGATCTCAAAAAGGTAAGAAAACGTATGAAATAAGAATATTACGGAATTTTAAGTGAAAGGTATTACGAAATATGATTGATGGCGTACAAAAAATCGTGTATGGCTATTAAAGATCCAATTTAGAGTTGTACCGTCATATAACGAAACACATATCTTTCATTTCATTATACTGCAAAGATCGAACTGGTCAGGCTATGACATCACAATGCATAAAGATTACGCCACTAAAAAGCCTTTATTTCCTAGAAACAGGAACATTGTAAAAAAATTCCGAATCAAGTTAGGTAAAAAGTAACGGCACTCAGATTGTCCTTACTTTTAACCGTAAAATGTTATTGAACAAAAATCTGATGTACCGTAATTTTTCCAGTAATATTTACTATGAAATCATTGAATCACTGTAATGAAATAAATATTCCGATAAAAATTACCGAAAAATGGATTTTACAAGATGCTGCACTCAGGGTACTTTTTACCGTAAATTGATCCAGAAATGTTTACTGTGTACTCGAAGAAAAGGCAGAAAATTAAGATGCTTTAGAGAAAGTCAACCAGTAGTGCGGACAAGAAACTGGAAAACTTATAAAATAAAAACTGAAATTTTGCTTTTGAATGAAATTTTTGTTTCATAGTGAGAAACAAAGATGATTGCGGAGCAAAATTCCCTAGTCTGTAAAGAAATGAAATTCACGTACAAATGTCACACAATCGGCTTAAAATTTATAGTTTAGTTTGTTCTCGTGATTAAAGGACTCGGAAATAAGGTAAATAGATTATGCTATAATCGTAAATATAGCTTGAACTTAAATATTCATCTCGTTTTGTTTGGAAGAAGGAAAAAAAAATCAGTCTATCTTTTTTCCCCCCATCGTATTTCAAAATATAATTGAAACGATATCAGATGATTTCCAATTAAGGAAAGGTAATAATCTAAGTAAAAAGATAAAGTTAATCGTTTAAAATCGCTAAGTTAAAGTTAATCGTTAATGGTAAAGTTAAAGTTCATTAAAATAATTTCTTTTTTAAAAATATACTTTTAAGAAAAACGTGTTTATGGAATAAAATGGAATGAATGGAATAAAAACCAAAACTTTCAATGAAGCTTCATAATTTTTAATCAATCTACAGCTAAAAATTCATTAAAATATTTTTCAATAGTGAAAAAGTATTCGATTCAATAGAAATTGTGTGACTACCAGTTTGCAAAATACATTTTCATGAATACAAATGTGTACAGGTTGACAGTATGATGAGGCAGAAGTCGAATTCTTGGCCATAGATGGCGCCACTGAAAAACAAGAATCGCACACTCTGCCTCAAATTTGCCTGGTTTCACCAAGCAGGCTTGCCTGTGTGGCAAGTGGCATTAGAACCAACCAACCAACCACAAATGTGTTTAAAGTTCCATAAGATAATTCTATGTAAATTAAAATAAAAAAGTATAATTTTTTTGAAACTTTTTCAATAACAAATGATTAAACAATGAAATAATGAAATACACTTGAAAATAATTTGTTTAAATTGTAACATGATTCATACAAGCTGTAAATTAGGAATAAATTTAAACTAATTCATACAAATAAAGCTCCCACTCATTTTACTAGTTGTATATTGTGTATTATATGTATACTCTCTAGTTGAAGATTTTTGTTTTTGAAAATGTTGCTCAGATATTTTTCCGAATGAATTGTTTTCCCCTCTTTTAGAATGCACGATAGATCAAATAAAATGCTACCAGTGTGAGGTGACAGAAAATCATTTATGCACAGATGAATATCTTCTGTTGTGCCAAAGAGCTTACGATATGTGTCTCACCAGAATATACAAGAAAAGTAAGAATTCAATCTATTTTTAAGAAAAAAGACTAAAACAGCTTTATGGGGATTAAAACATATAAAATAAGAAATATATAGGTAAATTCAATCAAAGGTAAATCACTTTTTCTGCCAGAAGAAAAATGAACAAAGATGTTATCAGAAATCTGAGAAGACAATAGCTGCTACCGTAAGATTAAAAGCATCAAACTTGAAATGATTGATTCTCAAATGGATTTGAGAATTATTCTCAATAATCTCTTTTTTATTTTATTCTTTAATCAAACTGGTTTTTGAGCTTTTAATTCTGTCCTTATTACCTTGATATTTTTAATTTTACCTACCTCTGATTCCATCAATTTTAATGTGAATATTTAATTTTGATAAGATAAATATTTTTTTGATAAGGATTGGGTTATAAAACAAGTACGTGAACAAAATATGATGAAACACAACTCTCTCAGAACTCTCTTATATGACTCTCTCAGAAAAGTCAGCAACCATAATATTGATAACTTGAGCCCTAATATATACGGAATTGTTGCACCCTTAAAAAAGTGTTAACCATTGCAATGCTCGAGGAAGTCAATTGCTTTATGGTGTATCATCGTGAAAATGAAAGCTCAGAGAAATTTCAGTAAAATTCTAAATCATTAATTTCTACAACCAGCTTTCAAAAATATTTTTGTAACGTTTTTTTCGATTAAAAATATTCATTTTCAACTTCCAATGGGTGTAATATTTTTTCCTCCTTTTTGACAAGGACTCTAAGAATATAAAAACGGTGATTACGTATAACCCATACATACACTGAAGAGCCATTACATTATGACCACCCTGCGAATAACAAGTAGGACCACCTTTAGCCCTCAAAACTGCCCGCCGTGGCATTGATTCCACAAGGTGCTGATAGGTAGTCTGAGGTGCCTGGTATCAAGCGCTCACCACCTGGTCCTGCAATTCCCTCATATTGCGAGGGGTTAGCGTGGCAGCATGAATTTGGTTTTCCAAGTAGGACCACAAATGCTCTATTGGATTAAGGTCAGGGGAATTTAGGGGCCAAGACATGACTTGAAAGTCACTGGAATGTTCTTCGAACCAATCCATGACGATTCGAACCTTATGACATGGTGCCTTATCCTGTTGGTAAACACCATCCCCCGCAGGAAAAACTGTTGCCATGAATGGGTGAACCTGGTCTGCAACTATGTTCAAGTAGCTTACAGACGTCAGGGATTGTTCTATGAGGATCATGGGTCCAAATATGCCCCATGAAAACATTGTTCCTGGGCGAGAAACCATGAAAACCTGGACGAGTCCATTGTCATAGATCAAGGGTTTCCAACTGGCGGCCCGCGGGCGTCATCCGGCCCGTGAAGCCTTTTTTTGCAGCCCGCGAACCAAAATATATTAGTTTTCATTTTTTGGGGGACAATTTTCGTAGAAAATTTGTATGGGTTTTAAATACTTTTAAGTTTTATATCTTAACTATTCGATATCTGTTTCACATTAATTGTTTGATGCATAGGTGCACATTAAAGTTATTGTAGCCAGAATTTTTTAATATGCGATTAAATATTTTTACAAATCAACTTATTTTAATTTGTAATTCAATACTTTTGTTTTGTACAACCTGATAAAAATCTGACACTAATATTTAACGTTTCTTCAAACTTACAAGAGTCCTTTATAAAATTTTGATAAAGTTGCGGCCCGCCATTTGACTGGTGTTTTTAATTGCGGCCCCCGGCCTCATGTAAGTTGGAAACCCCTGTTATAGATGGAGGGTGGTCATAATGTAATGGCTCTTCGGTATATATCAATAAAAAAAAATACATGAGATACATATTTGGCATTATGGTAATTATTTTATAATTTTGAAACATCGAAAATATTAAAGTAAGATTTTACAGATTTTAATTAATTTTAATTCTGCTTATAATTGTTTCGTTAAATAATACAGTATTTTAGAAATTTTCAAATTAAACATATTTATGCTAACTTCTTTTTACCCTTGCCTTAATGAAAAATACTTTTACAGAAAATTATGAAGAAAAAATTGCAGAATAAAAAAAAAATTAGTATTCGTTTTGTTCGAATTAAAAAATAAATAAATAAAAAAGTACTCGTATTTTCTATCCACATTGATGATCACGGACTACGACAGATGGCAGCACTGTATTACTTCACCTCGTTTCAGGGTTCGTTTTGATTCGATAAACAAATCCTCTAAGTTTCAAAATTTTACAAGAACTCTTACAAGCACGATTTTTATTTAAGGTCAGTGGCCACATATTTCATTAGAAAAATTTACGGACAGATCTGAAGTTTTATAGCCATGATAACTGCACGGGTATAATTTTATTTTACGGTCAACGTGGGGAAAACTTTTTGAAGGCCACTGACTGTGATGTTGTGGGAAAGGTTTTTAGAGTATATGGTCGTCTTCGCATGGTATTTCGGTTACAGCAAATTTAAAATACTAGTGGGCTGCGCCCCCTGCTCGTTAACGCTCGCCAACCCCCGAACATTGCTATGCAATCTTATATGGTTTGCTTCGACAACCAAGCTCGCTTCGCTCGCTACTAACTTAGGTACATTGCAAATGCACAAAATTCTAAGAATTCAAAACAATCATTCAAATCCATATAACAACTTCCTTTAAAAAAAAAAATTACATCTTTTTAGTAAATACTAAGTCATTAAAATAAATTTGAATTCAAATAAATGACATGTAATTCGTTAAACTTATTAGAAATGTGCTATAGTATAAAATCTTAAGATAAAATTTCTAAAACTGATATCTCTTTAAAAAGGTTAAAATTTTGGCTATAATTAAGTCTATTAAAAATTTAAATAAGTGAATTGCAATGGAAAAACCTGCATAAACAAATAAATTCTAGTAAAACAAATAAATTCGTGATATAAATCAAAAATCGTCAAATAAATTCGTAATATATAAATTCGCGAAAAAAAGTGCTTTCGATAAAATACTAAAATAGAGATCTATCGACAAAGACTACTCACTTCTGCCTAGCTTATGCTCTCTCTGGTTATTTCAGTTTCCGTTTTTAAAAGCGCCATATGTTGAGCCATCTCAGTAGATTTGGCATGTGACATTTTTAGCGGCAATCATTGGTCGATTTTCTAGCGTTGCCATTCGGGGAGTTGTAATGAGGCTTTTTTTTGTCGCCGTGTAAGAGAAATATATATATGTATTATGTTGTTCAACATTCTCAAAAATTTCTAACATGGTTCTGCTAATTTGAATAAACAAGTTTTATTTATCAGTCCGGGATAGCCTGGTTGGTAGGGCACTAGGCGCATGTCTGAGAGTTTGTGGTTTCGATCCCAGACCGGCCGATGACTCCCCGTGTAGTAAATGGTGACGAATGCACCTCAAATCTGTCGAGTCGCAAAGTCCTCCATGTTCCCATGACAAATCAATACCTCTGGGGGTACTGATCCAGGAGTTTCCTTGTCTTCTGGATTGGGTTCAAAATTACAAGGCTACAGAGTTGAATATTAGTAGTCGTAAGCCCAAAACTGGGTCGGCTGTTCAACGACGGATATAAAAAACAAGTTTTATGTCTTATTTGTGTTTCATGTACAAGTTTTATGCCTTATTTATTTTCAAGTAAAATTATTATTTTTCTTCAAATATCTTCTCGACAACATTATTTACGTAAAAAGAAGTGCTTCTAAAATTGCATTTCTATGGTAGTAAACTAAAGCAGTTTTTTTTCCCATCACGTCTTTCACTTTCGAGTAGATAATTTAGAGTACATCATTCTTTTCCATTTCATTTGAAACCCGAATAAGAGAATCTGTGGAATTCTTTGAATACTTGATGCGTAAGAGGAAAACTTGATAGAAACCCAATTTTTCTCAATTTAACAGCTAACATTGTAACGAAAGAGATTTCGCTAGAGTTATTTACTTTGATTTTCTTTTAGTCTAAGGAAATGTATTGGCTAACTCAATGCACTTTTTTCTTTATACATATTTACAAATAATTTTTTCTTCCAAAAATAAGTTGCAAATTTTTTTTCTCTGTCATTTAAGAAAATTTTTTTTCAGGCTTCTTATGCAGTCGGAACATTTTGGAGATTTGTATTTATTCTAAAAAGAAAGAACAAAAAAAAGTACATTATTAAAAAGCTCGAAACGTACATTATTAAAATTTTAGTTTAAAAATTGCGTTTAATTTTCAAGTTTGTTATAAAGGTTTGTTATTCAATTAATAAATGAAGAAATGGAAACTTTTTAATACAAGTGTAATTTCTCAACAAATTTTTATGTATTAAAGTTACACGTCGGGAAGTAAACTAGGAAATCACCAAGAAAGGAATCGAGTTCATTTCTTTTTAATAAAAAAAAAAGTTCAAATCTACATGTATATAAATTAAACTACCGTTGAGTTCAAGTAAAAATGGACAAAAATTAACCGAAAAGAAAGCTTCAAAATAATTTGTGCCAAATCACTTTACTAAAAATAATATCAGTTTGTGATGCATTTTTATAACCGTTCCTCAAATGGAACCATAATAACTAACAGATTAATATTTGCTCATGCGGGAACTGAAATATTAAAAATTTAAACCCATTATTTTTTTCTTAAATTTCCATTTATGAAAAATTCTGACTGTAATTTTTGATTAGAAATTTATTTATGCTTTGAAAAGGGAAAAATATTACATTTCTATGCGTTTGTGAACATTATTGAAGTGAATTTGGATAAATTAAAACTGATTTTACTGAGTTGTAATAATTTATTTTATTTTCAATTAATTTTAGTTTAATTATGATTCGTTATTTTTTCCTTAATATGCCAAATATATGTTCTGTTATTTGAATCGGTAATTTAAATATTTTTATGCTATAATGTTTAGAAACGTGAAAGTTTGGATACCTAACCTTTTATACTTTATTGGTAGTACAGTGTACAAAATAAAAAACAGACCATCCGGAATAACTTCCTAATCTAATGAGCTGATCTTTACATTTTAGGACTTTTTCAAAAGTCGTAATTTTAAAATTTGATTTCTCAGGAACTATTCAACCGATTTCACTCAAATTTTGTATTTTGTCATATAAAATTGCATTCCTTAAAAAGGTAAAATTTTTATACTTTACAATTCAAAATTTTTTCGAAAATAATAAAAAATAATAAACATTATTAAACATAAAAAATAATAAAATAATAAAAAATAATGAACATTAATTAACATAAAAAATAATAAAATAATAAAAAATAATAAACATTAAAAATAATAAACATAAAATAATAAAAAATAATAAACATTTAANTTTTAGTTTAATTATGATTCGTTATTTTTTCCTTAATATGCCAAATATATGTTCTGTTATTTGAATCGGTAATTTAAATATTTTTATACTATAATGTTTAGAAACGTGAAAGTTTGGATACCTAACCTTTTAAACTTTACTGGTATTACAGTGTACGAAATAAAAAACAGACCACTCAGAATAACTTCCTAATCTAATGAGCGGATCTTTAAATTTTAGGACTTTTTCAAAAGTCGTAATTTTAAAATTTGATTTCTCAGGAACTATTCAACCGATTTCTCTCAAATTTTGTATTTCGTCATGTAAAACTGCATTCTTTAAGAAGATGAAATTTTTATACTTCACAATTCAAAATTTTCTCGACTATTATTTAGTAAAATAATAAAAAGTAATAAACATTTACAAAATTTTATTTATTTGCATGAAATTTTATAATTGTGTGCAAATATTTTTCAACTCTCTTAAAAAGTGCCGAAGATATGACTAATATGCATAAAGTAAAATTAGCAATATAGAGTCTGAGGTTCAGACCGCTCTCTTGACGAAACTATTGGAACCATATTTCCCAGATTGCGACTATCTACCCATATTTTGGATGTCAGGAATGCAAATCCGTCAAAAAAGGCATGTTTACTCAGCGAAAGTATGCTTTGTGTCTCATTTTGTTACTTAAAATACCATCTGCATTTATTAATTAGCATATTTAAAGTCACCTCCTTGAACCATTGGGATTGAGTCCTAAAACGTGAAGATCCGATCATTGGATCAAAAGTTATTAAGGATGGTCCGTTTTTTATTTTTCTCACTGTAGATAATAAAGGAATAATATTGAAAATACATCAAAAAAACAATTTTATTATATATTTATCTGTGTCTGAATGTTAAGCAAAACCAATTATTTAAGTTATATATTTGGATGTTTTAATTTACAGAAGGAAACCAAACTTGGATCTACAAAAATTGTGCGCTAGGACCGTGCGCTTTGAGAGATGATACACAAACCGCTGGTCTTGGTTTGGATCACTGTGATCGCAGTCAGGATGAATTTGATTGCATTAGTTGCTGTAAAGGGGATGGTTGTAATAAAAATGCAGGCTATAATTTTGCGCCAGCCCTAACATTGTTGACTATATTAATGTTTTTTTCATCTTTCATCAAATATTACTAATATATTTATACTATGTGATACTGGGATAATAATAACAGTTCCATATATGTCTTATTTTTACTGAAATCTTTGTCTAATTTAAACTTTTATTTAAACTTCGAAAAAAAAAATGCCTATAAGAGAGTTGAAGATCATCTTAAAAGCAATACTGACTGTATGTATTTTTTTTTTACATGATGGAACTAGGTAACGTGTAAAAAAAAAAGGTTATTTTATTGGTATGTCGAAAAAAATTTTGCTGCTATCAAAAAAGTAGCTTTTAAGAGCTATTCATTAAAATTAAGCATCTTGTAAAATGCATGGAATCAGAATTTTGAAAGTGGAAGAATTTTGGAATGTAATTTTGCAAGCTTTGTTAAAAAATATATATATTATTTATGAGTTATTTTCCTTGCTAATGATAAATTTTATGGAGTGATAATACTAAACTGTATTTAAATTCATTGACTACACCTTAGTTTACTTATATGCATTTTCAGGCAAGAGTGTCTTTTATGTTTGCGTTTTAAAATTGACCATGTTGATTTTTTTAATTATATTGGAAAACCATTACGTATTAATAACGAAAACCTAAAGTCGGCAATTATTTTGGTGTTGTTTGTTTAGTAAAAATAATATTGGTTTTGAGTGCTATTTTTTGGTCTTCTGAACGTAATTCTAAATAGTTTAATTAAGTAAAGAGTTCTTTAAATGTATGCTATGAGCTTTAAGTTAAAATTTAGATGACAATAACAGAAAAAAAACATATGACACTATTTGACAGAAAACGCAATGCAAATAAATCTTAAACTTTCTTGTTCGATTAAATAAATAGTTTAGAGTCAAAAATGCATTTTGAATGTAAAATATTAATCTCTTTTAGGAGAGAAGTATGTATACACTTAGATATAATGACTTATAGTTCATAATAAAAAAATAGTCATCACGAAATGACTTTAACAAAAAATGTATATAATTACTAAATAAAGTTACAAAATGTTCTTTGATAAAGCTTCTTTACATAAGGCGGATTACAAAACATTCAAACAACTATTTTCACTAAATATATAGTTTAGATTGTATATATTAATTACCTTTACTAGTAACTCGCCACCACTATCTTAATATACGATTATTTACTTGTTGCAAATATAATAAACTACATATATATATATATATATATAGAATTAAAAACTAATAATTAATTAGCAGCCCTATTAAAAATAAAATTTTCTTTGAAAAATTTCGCAAACTAAAAATTATATATCAATTTTAACATAACGTAGGGGAGAGTCGGGTAGCCCCTCTCATTGCTTATATTTCTGTATAATATTGAGTAATAATCAATATTTTTGTATGTTTCTATTGTTTTATCATCTAATTAAATAATGCAAAAAGAATAAACCAAAAAAAGAAAAGTTTAACTAAAAAAAATGGAAATTTAAAAAAAACATGTTTTTCAGCTCTTTTCAAAATGTGTCGGGTAGCCCCGCCCAGTTACAAAAATTATGTTTTTTGACTGTTTTTTCAGGTGTAAATGAAAATGACCAATGTATTTACAATAGGTAAACCTCGTTTATCATTTTTATCACAAAATTATTTTATTTATTACATATTTATATACTTTTAGTGAATTCTATCATTTAATAACAACNTAGTGACTTTAAAAAAAAAATTTTTTAAATCTCATGGTGTTCTTAGGTAGGATTTGAACTGTCCTCGTCATTCACACCATTTTAATCCACTTTTACTATTTAAACACTAATTTGATGATTTTACTATTTGTAACTCGATTGTTTCCTTAATAGGCAATTTGCCCTATGATTAGTTTTTAAATTTTGTGCCTTTAATATTCTGACTAATTGAGATAACTAATTTTGTTCAAGAGTATTGTTCGCCCGCAAAGTTTACAGGCTGTTGCCATTTGACTTTTGTATCTTATGTATTTTATGCATTTTTTGTATTTTATGTTCTTTAATGTTTTTTTTACTTGGTTTTTAATAAACATTTACCCGTATGCCCTCAATTGGGGCAGGTCGGGGTAAATATTTTCATATGCATAAAGTGAAATTAACAATAAGGAGTCCAAAGTTCAGACCGCTCTCTTGACGAAACTATTGGGACCATATTTCCCAGATTGCTGCTATCTACCCATATTTTGGAGGTCAGAAATACAAATCCATCCAAAAAGACATGTTCACTCAGAGAAAGTACGTTTGGTGTCTGATTTCGTAACTTGAAATACCGTCTGTATTAATTAATTAGCATATTCGAAGTCACCTCCTTGAACCATTGGGATTGAGTCCTAAAACGTGAAGATCCGATCATTAGATCAAAAGTTATTAAGGGTAGTCCGTTTTTTAATTTTTCTCACTGTAGATAATAAAATAATAATAATACTGAAGAAATATGAAAAAACAATTTTATTACATATTTGTGCTTGAATGTTAAACAAAACCAATTATTTATGTTATATAATTGGATGTTTTACTTTACAGAAGGAAACCAAACTTGGATCTACAAAAATTGTGCATTAGGACCGTGCGCTTTGAGAGATGATACACAAACCGCTGGTCTTGGTTTGGATCACTGTGATCGCAGTCAGGATGAATTTGATTGCATTAGTTGCTGTAAAGGGGATGGTTGTAATAAAAATGCAGGCTATAATTTTGTGCCAGCCCTAACATTGCTGACTATATTAATGCTTTTTTCATCTTTCATTAAATATTATTAATATATTTATACTATGTGATACTGGGATAATAATAACATTTCCATGTATGTCTTATTTATACTGAAATCTTTGTCTAATTTAAACTTTGAAAATATTAGAGAGTTGAAGATAATCTTAAAAGCAGTAGAGACTGTATGTATTTTTTTTACATGATGGAACTAGGTAACGTGTAAAAAAAGGTTATTTTATTGGTATGTCGAAAAAAAGTTTGTTGCTATCAAAAAAGTAGCTTTTAAGAGCTCTTCATTAAAATTAAGCATCTAGTAAAAATGTGTGGAATCAGAATTTTGAAAAGGGAAGAACGAAATGTAATTTTGCAAGCTTTGCTAAAAAACATACATTATTCATGGGTTATTTCCTTTGTTAATGATAAATTTGAGGGAGTGATAATAATAAACTATATTTTAATTCATTGACTACACCTTAGTTTACTTACATGTATTTTCAGATAAGAGTATCATCTGTCTTTTGTGTTTGTGTTTTAAAATTGAACATGTTGATTTTTTTAATTATATTGGACAACCATTACGTATTAATGAGTAAAACTTAAAGTAGACAATTATTTCGGTGTTGTTTGTTTAGTAAAAATAATATTGTTTTTGAGTATTATTTTTTGGTCTTCTGAACGCAATTCTAAATAGTTAAATTTAAGTAAAGAGTTCTTTAAATGTACGCTATGAGTTTTAAGTAAAATTTGACAAAAGAAAAATATATGACGCTATTTGAGAGATGACAAAATGCAGGTACTGACGGAAAACGCAATGCAAATAAATCTTAAACTCTCTTGTTCAACTAAATAAATAGTTTAGAGTCAAAAATGTATTTTGAATGTAAAATATTAATCTCTTTTAGGAGAGAAGTATGAATACACTTTGATCTTAGATATAATGACTTATAGCTCATAATAAAAAAATAGTTATCATAAAATGACATCAGCAAAAAATGTATATAATTACTAAATGAGGTTACAAAATGCTCTTTGATAAAGCTTCTTTACATAAGGCGGATTACAAAACATTCAAACAACTATTTTCACTAAATATATAGTTTAGATTGTATATATCAATTACCCTCACTAGTAACTCGCCACCACTATCTTAATATACGATTATTTACTTGTTGCAAATATTTTAGACTATATATATATATATATNAAATATTCTATACATATGAAATTGGCAGTGGGCCCGACTCTCCCCTATATGAAATTTTTGAAAGAGTTTTAGTAACAAGTACTCACATTCATGATTGTTAAAAGATTAAATCTTTTGCTAATCAACATTTTACTAAATCTTGTGTTTTCATATAGTTGGTTTCATTTCTGATCTTGTAATTAAGTGACTTAGTTTTTTTTTTGTTCTTCTGGTTTTCAAAACGAGTTGAACAATATTAAAATTTCCCTCCTTTAGGTACAATGTGTATTATCTTATATTTCTAATGTATTTCAATATAAAAATGATATTTATTTTTTTAATATGTTATCTTATTCATTTTATAGTTAATAAATTTATTATAAGTCTGTTGTTCTATGTGAAAAGCAACTGCATCTTTTTGTTTTAGAATACATTCATAATTTAATAAAATAATAGAGTTACCAAATGAAGCTCAATTTGTTTTTTTTTTGAAGCGCATTGTAGCTAAATTTGTAAAATTATTTGATTTATATTTTAGCAAACTATTTCATTATATGTTAGATGAAGTCTGCATGACGAGTTTGTATGTTTCACACCCATTGTTTAAATTTGACTCTTTTTTATTATTATGAAAACTTACTCTGAGAAAAAAAGTATGGTCAAAACTATAGGACATGGCAAAATTCATCGTGTTTCTGGCTCTATGGTAACACCAAAAAGCTCTGTAATTTTTCAGGAGTACAATTAACAACTTTTGGTAAAATTAACATTAAAATATGGTTTTCTTATAGGTTGTTTGGTAGTAAATACTGTAAAATGTAGGATTTTTATCGTGATACTTTAAAGCATGTCACGAAAACCATTTATTCGGTTAAATTTACTTTTCATTTTTGTATTTTTTACTAAATTTTGGTAATAAGAACCATAATTTTAAAAACTAGAATTTCCGGTATATATTTATCATATTAACAGGAAAATTACCAAAATTTATAGTTTGAAAACCGTATATTTTGGTTTTCTTTATTTCTCTTTACCAGATATGTCATTATCATACAGAACGCTAATTTTACTAGAATTCTTTCTTTCATGTAGGCAAATTATTTTTAATTTTTTGTGCATTTAAACATTTTGCGTTGCAATATCTCACAATTAAAGTTTTATTATTTAATGTATTGAAATTAAGAAAAAAAAAACATGTATGTGCAGCAAACTTGATTTTTTTAAAATCTTATTTTATAAAACTTAGTAGTATCAGGGTATTTAGTAAAGATAGTTATAACTAGGATAAATTCTAACGCAAATGTGCATAGGATTGTGAACATTATTTTGTTGAAT